GCTTATCACACCTATTGCATCTTCCTATAAAGTAGTATTAATTAGGTAGATTAGTATTGATTAGACCGAGTAATGTAAACAGAAACATTTTTTTTTTGGGTAAGTAAGTAATTATATTGAACCAAAAAAAGAATGGTTACAAAGTAACAAGATCGGCTTAAAGGCCATAGAAAACAACAAAAGAAACTAGAGGCACAAATGCCCAAACACAAGAGCACGCAGGCTCGAACAAGGCACAATCGCCCAAAAGAGTACAAAGGCTTGAAAACCAAAATCAAACAAGGCATAGACACCCAAAAATGAGCACGTAGGCTCAAAACCAAATCTCATAAAAGGCACAGACGCCTAAAGGAGCATGCAGGCTCTACAAAGGAAAGGAAATAAACTAAGATCGCTGCCCTTTTTTCTTATTCTTCTTACCCTTGAGTGTTGGCGGATCTGAAGGTCTAGAGTGTTGGGACTAAGGCATGGGCCACTGCATGTCAGAGTGGAAATCCACTTCAGCATCTTCGACGTTCGAGTTATAGTGGGCAACAGACACCATGGCTAACGACTAGACCTAGCAAAACGGGTCTGAACCTGCAGGTCAACCTTAAACCTGGGTAAAAAATATAGGGTATGGGTCTTTAACATTGAACCCCGTTTTAACTCGGCTCGGCCCGTTTTTCCAGCAAGTGAGACGAGTATACCTGCGGGTACTTGTTTGTTTAAAAAAAAAAAAAAAAAAAAAAAAAAACCCATTTCCCTTTTTAGTTTTCCCCAAATCGTGATATCCCTAACCCTTGACAAACTCACACTCACTTACGCTTATCAATCCTCTCTCAAACTCAAATCGAAATCCCTAACTCCGCCGTCGTCGCTTCTCTTATCTCTACTCTCGATGTTTGTAGTCTCTCAAACTCACTCATGCAAACGCAAATCGAAATCCCTTATACATCTCCAATTGTCGCATTTCCAGACTCCAATCTCCAAGCCTCCAATCGAAATCGAAATCGAAATCCAAAGTATGTGTATCCTAACTCACACTCACTCTCATCTCTCACACTCACTCACTCTCGTCTTCTATTTATCTCTCTCACACTCATCTCTAGACTCCAATCTCCACATCTTGCTACTACTTTGCTCCTCAAGGATATCAAACTATTCTTTAAAGGATGAGAGTGCAAAAGCATATTGATTTGAAGGGATAAAAAATGAAGGAAGGTCTCAGCTAGTGAGGTCTGGCAATCCCGGTGGAGATACTGAAAATGATGGGTCTTCAATGTTATTCCTTATAAAATCACCATAACCCTTGAAGTAACAATAATAAATAGTGAACATGGTGGTTGTTTGGTTCCAAAAAAGTGCAGTTGGGATGTCATTATTTTCTTTTTGCACCTGAGTACACAGGTGTTGTGTTTGCAATGAGAAGTGCGATGTTTTCACTTTTGGTGTATTGGTACTTGTTCTGTTGACTAGACAAAAAATATTTGATTCTTCTCATTGTGAAAATGACGATGATTCATGGTTATTGCAGCAGGTGAAGAATTGTATTGGTCAAAATGATAGATTTATTGAGATAATAAATCCTGTAATTGTTCAGTAGAGAATATATAATGTGGGGTTGATGTAAGGTGGTGTCGTGGTGGCATTGTTTTGGTTTAGATAGTTGTGTTGTTGTTGTTGTTGGTTGCTATGTTTTAATGTAGAAATAAAATGTGTAGTGATATGGTTTTGATAGTTGTGTTATTGTTGTTGGCTGCTATGTTTGGAACTTTGGATGCAAAAATAAAATGTGTAGTGATGTTTAATCTTACGTTATTTTGCCCCTGGAATAACTCATTAGCACAAGTTGGATTATTCCTTTCACATCTCACTAAGGTGAAAAGAGATGCCCATAGAGAAGAAGAATTGGTTTCCTTTAATCTTTTGAGTTTTATTGTATGGTCTTGGAGTTTAATATCAACTGAACCAAAACAAAGCTTATATTTTTCTGTTTGGTTTGTATGAAAATTTCGGACATCATTCATTCATGTCTTTGATTGTTTTTAAGTTTATGGTGTTTGGCATGCCTTTAAATTATTGATTTTTTTTTTTCAAGTAGTCTCAAGCATTGATTGTGGGGGTGTAATTGTAAAAAATGAAAACTATAGGAATTTTAGGGGTGTAATTGCAAAAATTGAAAATTTGAGAGAGAAAAAATGGGTACTCACAGGTCTACCCATACCCGCATAAGGTAGGGTTCGGGTCCAATATTTTGGACCTATTTAGATCGCTCGTTTTGGGCCTATACCTGTTTGGACCTGACTCGACTCGACCAGACCTTAACCCGACCTACCTGCCCGTTTTGCTAGGTCTACTAACGACCCTTCTTGTCCCTCCATAAATGAATCATTGCTCACCCCACTTTTGAGGGCATTGGAAGGCAAAGGATCATGAGCTTCAATAATCAAAGAATCGCTTGGAAGGAGTTCCTCCAAGTTAGACGCTAAATAAGTTTCTAGCCGAATGATATCAAGGAAGTTGGTGCTCATGGGAAGGGGGGGGGGGGGGGGGGGGGGTGTTCTTTGGGGCCCTAAGAGGAATAAGGTGAGGAACACTTAGATGATCCTCCTCAAGTGCCTTAGGAGGTTTTGGTGCCTTCTTAGGTGGGTGGCAAACATGGCCAAACTCACAACATTTTGGACAACGCTTTGGTTTCCATTCATACTCAATTTCAATTGGAATTGAGTCTTGATGGTATTCAAGCATCAATTGGTGCAAAATAGGCTTGGAAGCATCAATCTCAACACAAACACAGACATAATCAAGCCGGGTAAACTCATATGTCGCTTTGTCGCATGATAAAGGGTGATTGTCGATGCTAGCCGCATATCCCAAACCTTCATGCATCCATATGCTAATGGGAAAACTGTGCAGCCATATCCAGATCGGGACCTTTATGATCTAGAGATCGGTCAGGGACTTCTAGTCCACCAAAACTTAGAGAAGGATGTGTTTTCCCCCAAATATCCGTGGCCCATCCACTAGGATTGAGCGTAGGCTATCTTCGTCCTTGAATCGGAAGTAAACGAGATTACTCGATGATAAGACTTGTTTTAGTCCATAAGTGGTACATGCACAAAAGGCGATGGACTCGACAGCATGGAACAACATCTTGCATCCCAGGAAAGATCCCACCATGCAATTTGACCAATAGACTAGGTCCTTCTTAACCAAATCATTCGAAAGAATAATTTTTCAGATTATCCCCTTCTACATTATAGTGACAGTGGGGAAGGGTGAAAAGGGTCTTGGAGTTGGAGTTGGTAACTCTTAATTTGTCGGCCCAAGATGAATTGGGCTGAGATGGATTGCTCCGGGAGGGGGGCAGTTGGTTCACATTAGCTTGGGTGGGGAATGGAGGTGGAAGGGTGTGTTTTGGTTGGTTGGGGCATTTTTTCGAATAGGTGGTGGGAACAAAAAAATGGTGTTTTTTGGATAAAAGAAAGGGTGGAAAGGGGGGTTGGAATGGTTCAGAGTGTGTTTGAGGAGTGGCTGAGGTCGTGGAAGGTGAGGAGAAGGTTGGGAGGCAAAGCCTAAGCAACCCAGTAGGCTACTAAGGACAGCCGCACGTGCTGGCACTGGGTTGTAGCACCAATTTTTGTCGATCAGGAGACCAATAACAACTAAACAACATAGCAACCCAAACAATAGAAAATGGTGAATCAAGTGGTGTGTTATTTTGGGGCTGATTGCTCTCCAATCGATCATAATTGGGCCAAGAAAATCCCCAACTTCGCAAGGTGGCAAGAAGGAGATGGTTGCAAAAGGTGAGAGAAGATGCCAAGTGGGGGTATGGGTTTTGAAAATGAGGTTGAGAGGAGTTCAATAGAGGTCTAGAAAGTGATTTTGGAGGTTAGGATCCGTCGAAAAAGCCAAAAAACTGGCGGCTTCAAGCGATGCTAATGTGAGCTAGATTTGGCTAACATGAGCCCGTCTACAGCCAAAAGGAGCACGACGCATGTTAGTGTGCTAATGTGCTCCGCGTTATAGTGAAAAAATTGGGAGAAAAAAAAACCCTCTTTTTTCTCACAAAGAATTATCTTCAATAATAAAAACATTATTCATTCACAAATGTATCTGAATATCCAGACATTTTGAATTCTTTAAGTCTGAGTAATACAAAGAACATTTTTAGTTATTTTCTAGAGTTTGAACATGTGTTTTCTGTTAATGCAAGTGATATCTTGTTGAAACAAGTTTTGATGCGAGCTATAGGTAAATAAATGCAAACTGAAATGGTGTAGGTAGCAATAAGCGAGTTGGAAGAAAGTTGAATTTTGGAGTTGAAATCATGCTAATTTTGTTAGCTGTTTGGTTAACTACTTCAAGTAGTGCAGTTGAATTTAGGGATTATAAAAATTAGATATTTTTTGTATTAGTTAAGTTTGTGTGGTCCATCTGTAATCTATATAACATCACTGTAACTTTAGGTGTAATAGTTGATGTATAAATTGAAGTTTAAAAATAATGAAAAGTGTGAGAAACTTATAGCTCTTCAAAAAAAATTTCCTAGTGTTCAATTTTTTCTTGTTTCCCTTTCATTCTTGCCAAATCCAACATCTGGTATCAAAGCTTTATAAGATCCTACGAGACCAGTAAAGGAAATATAATTTCTCTCCAAAAACTCACCTTCAAGTCTGTTTATGGCTTCCAACAATGTGCCTTTTTCTCCTTATGTCTTCAATGGTGAACAATACGATATCTGGGCTGTTAAAATGAAAGCTTATCTAAGGGGACATGATCTATGGCAGTATGTTCAAGAAGAGAGACAACCACCTCAATTGGGACTGAATCCCACATTGAACCAAATAATTAGATTACATGAATAATAGATTGCCAAAGCTCCAAGAGCCTTGTCTTATACCCATTCAGCTGTCACAAACTTAGTCTTTTCAAGGATTATGGCTTGTGAAACTGCAAACGAAGCCTGAGATAAGCTAAAGGAGGAGTTTATAGGAAGTGATAAGACTAGGTATATGCAAGTGTTGAACTTGAGAAGAGAGTTTAAAGTGTTGAGGATGCAGGAAGCAGAGTCTATTAAGGAGTATGTAGATATACTTATGAATATTTTTAACAAAATTAATTTGCTAGGTGAGGAGCTGATAGACAAGAGGATAATTGAAAAAGTGCTTGTAAGTCTACCAGAAAGGTTTGAGTCCAAAATTTCATCTCTTGAAGACTCAAAAGACCTATCACATATCTCCCTTTTAGGGCTTGTTCATGCCTTACAAGCTCAAGTACAAAGAAGACTTCTGAGACAAGAAGACAACATTGAGGGAGCTCTAATGGCAAGTCATAAAGTGAAACCTTATGAAGGTGGAAATAAGAAGCAAGCAGGAGAAAAGAAAGGGAAGGAGAAGAATGATAACCAAGGAATGAAGTAAGGGGGTAAAAAAGGGATATCCATCATGTTCTCAATGCAAGAAGAGGAATCATGTTGAGAATTTATGTTGGTTCAGGCCTAGAATACAATGCAGGTCATGCAAACAATTTGGCCATATTGAAAAAGTTTGCAAAAACAAGAGTAATCAACAAGGGGAGCAAGCTCAACTAGTGGAAAATCATCAGCAGCAAAATCAGGAAACTGACCACCTGTTCGTGGCTTTTCGCTATGTAGCAAGTGGTTGCACTGAAGCATGGTTGACAGACAATGGCTGTACTAACCATATGACTCCAGACCCAAGCAATTTTGTGGACTTGGATCATACATACAAGTCCAAAGTAAAGATAGGAAATGGAGAACTTATTGATGTCAAGGGAAGAGGAGTTGTTGCAGTCCAGACTTCAACAGGTACCAAATATATTTCCAAGGTCTTGTACGTACCTGAAATTAGCCAAAGTCACTTAAGTGTAGGAAAAATGTTAGAGAAAGATTATTGTCTACATTTCCAAGATATATCGTGCACACTTTTAGATAATGATGGTAGTGAATTAAGAAAGTAAGGATGATAGGTAAAAGCTTTCCCATAAAGTGGAAAGAGACTGATTTGCATGCTTACTCCATGGCTACTGATGAGTATGTTGTGTGGCACAAAAGATTTGGCCACTTCAATTACAATGGACTCAAGGAGATGTATTGCAAGAACTTAGTTTAAAATATGCCTAAGATTGAAGATAAAAAGGATATATGCCATGCCTGCCAACTTCGTAAACCGAGTAGGTTGCCTTTTGCAGCAAATCAAGCATGGAGAGCTTCCAAAAAGTTGCAACTCATCCACACTAATATGTGTGGACTGATGAAGACCTTTTCTTTAAGTGGAAGCAGATATTTTTGTTCTGTTTATTGATGACTGCTCAAGGCTGTGTTGGATTTATTTCTTGAAATAAAAGAGTGAAGTGGCTAAGGTGTTTAATGAGTTTAAAGTTATGGTGGAGAATCAAACAGGTTCCAGCATTAAAACTATTAGAAGTGACAATGGAACTTAATACACTTCTATGAAGTTTGAGAAACATTGCATTGAAGCTGGAATAAAGCATCAGCTTACCAGTCCTTAAACTCCTCAACAAAATAGAGTGAGTGAAAGAAAGAATAGGATTGTTATGGAGATGGCAAGATGCATGTTGTATGAAAAAAAATCTGCCAAAAATATTTTGGGTAGAAACTGTGAATACAGCAGTTTATCTGCTAAATAGACTTCCAACCAAAGCCTGGAATAATCAAACTCCATTTGAAGCATGGTGTGGAGTTAAACTAGGTGTGAATCATGTATTTGGGAGCATATGTTACTCTCACATTCTAGACAACATGAAAAGCAAACTTTATGAGAAGGTTGAAATTAGAATCCTAATTGGCTACAGCAACTCGGCTGAAGCTTATAGAATCTTCAATCCAAAAACAAAGAAGGTTCTGATAAATCGAGATTTCAAGGTAGATGATTATTCGACTTGGAATTAGGAAAGAAATGAAGTTAAAGATGATAAAAGATTACAGCAAGGAAGAGAATTTTCTTCAAACCAAGATGATCTTGAAGAAAATTCAGATTCTAATGCAAAAGTTTCAATCAAAGGCACTTAGTTATTGGCTTATGTGTATGAGAGATGCAATGTAGCTGTTATGGAGCCTACAAACTACATTGAAGCATGTAAAATTATAAGAGTGGATAGCTGCAATGAAGGAAGAGATAAGTATGATTGAGAAGAATGAAACTTGGAGTCTTGTGGACAGGCCTACAAACAGAAATATTATCTAAGTTAAATGGATTTTCAAAACTTAGATGAATCCGGATAGATCAATCCAATTTTAAGGCCAGATCAGTGGCAAAGGGTTATGCACAACAATATGGTGTCGATTTTTCAGATACGCCTTCTCTAGTTGCAAGACATGACACAATAAGGTTGTTGATAGCCTTAGTAGTTCAACATAGGTGGAAGATTCTCCAATTAGATGTCAAGTCAGCTTTCTTGTAGGGCTACTTGGATGAAGAGATATATGTAGAGCAACTACAAGGCTTTACAGTTGAAGGGAGTGAGGATAAAGTGTATATGTTGAAGAAGGCTTTATATGGCTTAAAACAGGCTCCTAAAGCCTGGTATAGCATAATCAATGAGCATTTAGGAAGCCTTGGTTTCAATAGAAGTCCTAATGAACACACTCTCTATGTAAAGAAGATTGGTGGTGATTTGATGATAGTATCCTTATATGTGGATGACTTGTTTGTGACTGGAAGCAGCCTTGATCAATTGAATTAGTTCAAGGATGAAATGCGCAAAGAATTCGAGATGACAGATTTGGGGGAGATGACTTTCTTTCTTGGCATGGAAGTGCATCAATCCTTGGATGGCATATTTATTTGTCAAAGAAGATATGCCAATGAAATCTTAAAGAAATTCAACATGCATGAATGTAAGTCTGGGAGCACTCATTTAGTGCAAAACCAGAAACCTTATAAAGATGATGGAGCTGGCAAGGTTGATGAAAGGAGATATGGAAGCTTAATTGGGTGCTTGTTGTACTTAACAGTAACAAGGTCTGATATCATGTATGCAGCCAGCCTACTCTCTAGATTTATGAATGCACTATTGAAATTCACTTCAAGGGGACTGAAGACATAGGAATCTAGTTCAGGAGATAAGCCAATTTCAAATTAATTGGCTACACTAATAGTGATTGGACAGGTTCAATAAAAGATATGAAAAGTACTCTAACCTACGTGTTTTACTTGAATTCTGATGCATTTAGTTGGATTTCTAAGAAGCAAGAAACAGTGGTTCAATCAACAGTAGAAGCAGAATACATATCTACTATAGTTGTTGTTAATGAAGTAGTTTGGTTGAGGAAAATCTTGAATGATTTAAAGCAACATCAGATTGAAGCTACCGAAGTGTTTTGTGACAATCAATCAGCTTTTACAATGGCCAGGAATCTTGTGTTTTATGGTTGAACCAAACACATAAAGATCAAGTTTCATGCTGTTAGAGAAGCTAAAGAAGACAAGGAAGTGAAGCTTGTTCATTGCAGGACCAAAGAGCAAGTCACTGATGTCTTGACAAAGGCTCTAAACAAGACCAAATTTGAAGAATTTAGGCTTAAACTTGTTTTGACAAAGGCTCTAAATAAGACCAAGTTTGAAGAATTTAGGCTTAAATTTGGTGTTTCCAACAAAGTTATCAAGAATGAGTGTTAATGCAAGTAATATCTTGTTGAAATAGCTAGGTTTTGATGCGAGCTATGGATAAATAAATGTGAACTGAAATAGTGCGAGCAGCAGTAAGCAAGCCGGAAGAAAGTTGAAGTTTGGAGCTGAAATTATGCTGATTATGTCAGCTGCTTGGTTAACTACGCACTCCAAGTAGTGCAGTTGACTTTAAGGATTATAAATATTAGATATTTTTTATATTAGTTAAGTTTCTGCGGTCCATCTGTAATCCATATAAAATCACTGTAACGGTGGGTGTAATAGTTGATAAAAGCTGATGTATAAATTGAAGTTTAAAAATAATGAAAAGCATAAGAAACACGCGGCTCTTCAACAAAATTTTCCTGGTGTTCATCTTTTTCTTCTTTCCCTTTCATTCCTGCCAAATCCAACATTTTCAGGTGTACTAAAGGGCAAATCTCTTTGAGTTGAGCAAGTAAAAAGAGCTTCCAAGCTTATATATGAAGTCTGGCTTTGGTTAAGTGTGCAATGGAAGAGCTAGTCTTTGTCATTTTATTTCTCTTGTTGGGTCTATGTTTGTCTCTACTTGTAGTCCCACGTCTGTTTGCAAAACGAGAACCCAAAAACTTGCCTCCAGGGACAATGGGATGGCCCGTCTTTGGAGAGACTCTTAGCTTCCTCAAGCCTCATAGATCAAGTTCCATGGGTAGATTCCTACAGAAACGTTGCTCCAGGTATTTGTGTTGTCTTTGATGAGTTATGTGCTTGATTTCATCAAATATGTGACAAGAGATCATGAGATTGTGTATTGCAGGTATGGAAAAGTTTTCAAGTCACATCTATATGGTTCCCCGGCCATCGTTTCCTGTGACCCGGTGCTCAACTTGTTTGTACTTCAGAATGAGGAGAAGCTATTTCGAGCCAGCTACCCCAAGCCCGTGCTTGACGTTGTTGGAAAATTGTCTTTACACGCGGTGTCCGGAGAACTTCACAAGAAGCTAAGAAATATTGCCGTCAGCTTCATCACTGCCTCCAATTCAAATCCACTCTTCCTTCTCTTTGCAGAGAAACTGTCACTCTCAATAATGGACTCATGGAAAGAACAAAAACAAATTTCCTTCTGCGAAGAAACTAAAAAGGTAATTAAGGAAGAATTAATTTTAAGTTCAGGAGGAAAACTTATAAACTAATGTTAAACTCATTAATTTTGTGATATATATAACACAGTTTACGCTCTATCTTATGGTGAAGCAACTGTTGAGTATTGAGCCAAAAGAACCACTAGCCTTCAAAATACTTGAAGATTTTGAAACTTACATGAAAGGTTTTCAGACTTTGCCAATATATATCCCTGGGACAGCTTATGCAAAAGCTGTGAAGGTAACAAAAAATTGCTACAAACAAATATATATCAGTTGACGTGCTGAATGTTTAATTATATATGACAAAAATGATTTAATGTTAAGGCTAGCGAGAGACTATCTTTGACTGTGAGAGAGATTATAAGAGAAAGAGAACAAGATATTTCGCGGCATAGGGAAGGAGACTTCTTAGATGTGATTCTGGCGAAACGGGGCCTGAGCTATGAAGAGACAGTAAGCATAGTTTTAGACATCTTGCGTGCAGGCTATAGGACGACTGCTACACTTATAGCTTTAATTGTTTACTTTCTTGCCAATGCGCCCAATGTTTTTGAACGATTAAAGGTATCTTTAATTTGTTCTGTGTTCCTTTTCCTAGTCTCCTTGTACATGAATATCTGCATACATATTCTAAAGGGTTCATTTGTTGAGTATTACAGGAAGAACACCATGCGATAAGGAAAAACAAAGAAGATGGGGAATCCTTGAACTGGGAAGATTTCCTGAAAATGGAGTTTACCAACAATGTAAATATAGAGTAATTAACTGTTTTTCTGCATAAAAGTTCAACATGCTTACAGGAGGAAACTAACAAATGCTTTGCTTATAGGTAATACATGAAGCTACGAGATGCGGAAATGTTGCCAAATTTGTCCCCCGCAAAGCCCTTCAAGATGTCATATTCAAAGGTTTGTTGTTTGCATTAAGTTTAATTTATCTATTGCTTCATATTTATTTTCTTGCATTCTAATTTTATGGTTCAATTATATTGCAGACTATTTCATTCCATCGGGATGGTATGTTTTTCCACTCTTTACTGCGGTACACCTTGACCCCACTCTTCATGAAAATCCTTCGGAGTTTAATCCTTGGAGATGGACTGTACGTATAGCTAGCCTCCCCTGCATTAACCAGTCTTGTTTATATCTTACTCTTTCTGCTGTGATCTGAACTTGCAGAACCATATTCTTCCCATATAGCTGCAGGAAATAGTTGATAAGCAGATAACATAACTATAACTTCTTTCTTATCTCTAGCTAATATGTTCCGATCGTTTTTGTATGTTGATCGCAGGATTATAAAGCAATGAGCAAAACGGTGATGCCATTTGGTGGAGGACCACGACTCTGCCCAGGAGCAGAACTGGCTAAAGTCGAAATCTCATTCTTCCTTCATCATCTTGTCCTGAATTATAGGTAAAATATCAGCAAGAATCCCCCATTTAATTAGGACATGCATGAATTATTGTACATCTCAAGTCACAGATTAATATATATTCTGGTATAATAACCAACTGCTTCCCACTTATCGGGAAACTGCATAATCTCGTTTATGATATTTCACTGTTATTTTAATATTCATGCATACAATAAAACACTATTTTAGATTGGAATTGAGCATCCATGTTATATCATAAAAATCCTTACCACTTTATTCCCTTTTCATTGAATATATACTCATTTGTTCTTTGTGTGTCCCTTGAAACTGCAGGTGGAAAATAAAAGCTGATGATTTCCCAGTTGCCTATCCTTATGTTGAATTCTCGAGAGGCTTGGTTTTGGATATTGAACCAACAGAAGGGACATATAGTGGGAAATAAAAACTGATTAATGTAGATCTAATTAGCATATCCATCTGCTTAAAAGTGAATAATAAGGCATTATTTCATCTAAAAAAGTGTAATGAAAAGAAGCCATTTGAGAAATTGGCCCTATTTTCATTTACTTGTATTATTAATTAATGTAATTGATGATATAAACTTTTTTTTCTAGATGTATGATATATAAATCTCTTAAATCTGACCCTTATCGATTATATTTATCTAATATCGTTTATTAAAACAAAGAATATACCGATATATGTATAGATTTATAGTCGACATCTTCAGTTCTTCCTCTTGATCTTTAGACTGTAATGATATTGTAATTAATGCATAATTAGAGTTATATTGAGATTAGGGAAGTTCCTTCTAATTTTGAAAACTAGAAAATTATATATTGTAATGTAATTAACCATTTCATAAAGCTTATAGAAAGGAAAGGCCTCTCTTCTAGAGTTATTCAAGTTTATTTACTAACTTAGAGTATATGAGAAAGAGCAATGCTACAGTTATCGAAAAATGTATATCGAATTCATGCACAGAAGACGTGACATCATTTTTTTTCTTTAAAAAAATTTATAATTAATCAACGATCATAATGGTGTCACGTCATCGATGCATAAATTCGGTATATATTTTTTAATACCTGTATCATTTTTCTAGGAGAAATAGCTAGCCTCAGATCATAATTTCAAAGAACACACAAGCCCATTATAAAAAAAATCTCTCATTGAATTATTGAATATCAACCCGCTTTCATTTTTTAATTAATGAAAAATAATTGGTAATGGACTCCAAATCACGAAGGAATTTTTGCCACATGTCTTAATGAATACAAGGTTTATACGAGGTGTTTGGTGGAACCCACCACTCACAATACCATTAAAATTTTCTCGTCTTCCAGAATGTACCCACCATTGTTATCTCACAGCTCTCCCTCGAGCTTTCAGATTTCAATATGCACCTTCTTCTTCACACTCTTTTCTTGATTCTTCTTATATCTCTGCTAAGATTTGTTCACACATTCATATGTATCCCATTTCGTGTCCAACACCACTTCAAAAACCAAGGCATAATGATAAGATAGTGTTTCCACTTTATATGAGGAAATAGAGCCTCCAAGAAAATGAGAAATAAGAGTTTAAGGGGAAAAAAACTTAATTGACTATTGCTTGTCAAACCCTAATTGGTTTAGGCTTTATATAGTCTTACACATTATTCTAATTTTAAGAGGACTCTAATTGTCTAATTCTAATATAATTGCCTAATTTTAAAGATATTCTAATTATTGTAATTAGATAATAGTAGGGGTGTCCGTTAAATACTTGAACTCAGCTTGAGTAAGACTTGAATTAAGTACCGAGCTGAGTTCGAGTCTACCCCAACTCGGCTCGATTCGGCTTGCTAGTCAATAGTGTCTCATTTAGGGTTTTTCTGTGAAAAATACAAGTTTTAGGTCTGTTCTGTAATCTGACATGCAAAAGGTTTAAAAAATCTCAAATTAACCCTTAACCCCAATTAACCTAAATGTCATAAATGATTTCCCCAAAATCATAAACCCTATTTTCACATTACTAATCATTGTTTATGTTGTGTAATTTATTGATGTGATTTATGTTGATTTAGATACAAATTTACCAAAAATGTGATCTGATTTGTGTAAAACAAGATCTGCAAGTTATATAAAAAAAGGGTCAAACAAGCCGTAATCAAGTCATAATCGAGATCACGTTAATCGAATCATAATCAAGCTTTTCGAGTCAAGTCACGAGTCAAATTTTCCTGACTCGTGACTCGACTCGAACTCGTCTAATGCTTGACCGAGTCAAGCTTGTTTAGGGTGGTACTTGGCTCAACTCATCTTGTTTACATCCCTGGATAATAGCATAATTATAAAAGACTTAATATAATTATCCTAATTCTAAAATAATCCTAACATTGTCTTCCCCTTCGAATCAACCTTGTCCCCTTAAGGTTGCAAGGTACTATACCATAAACCACAGTTGTTGTCAAAGCCAAGACCTCTAATCGGTTACAACCATAAGAAATCATTTGGCGTAGATGAGGTCCAAGGCAATAAAGAGATGGTGAAAGTTCCATTGTTGGGGTAAAAAATCAACACGGTAAAGAAGTTGTTTGTTCTTTTGTCGTGACTTAACATTTTAGATTTAGCTAAAACACCCAAACTTATATAAAACTTTAATTTATAACAAAATCGCCCTTACCACCCTAAACCATTGCCAACCACCGTCGGAAAGTCACTGGAGTTGCTAAAAATAGCCAAGAGTCACTGGGAGGCTTCGATATGGCTGTTTCTAGCCATATTGATGGCTACAACCTGACCAAAAATGGCCATATCGGAGCCTCCTAGCGACTCTCAACCATTTTTAGCGACTTCAATGACTTTCCGACGGTGGCCCGTCATGGTTGGCCAGCTACCGGTGGTGTTTTAAATATAATGACATTATTGTCCAAAAACTTAATTAAACAAGTGTAAAATTGTAATGGTAGATTAATGTAAATTGATTTTAAAACAAGGGTATTATTGTTCAAAATTTTTATTAATAAGGGATAAAATTGTAACAGAAATAAGATAACCAAATAATCTTACAATACCTAAGAAAATTGAGGTTATAAAAATTACCTTAAATATTACCAATAGTAACTATTATTGGTATTGGAAGATTATCGAAATTTTATATTACTTGGCAACCAAATGTAGTAATCAAGTAATAAAAGATGACATACCCCATTAATCTCATATAACTCTCAACCAAACGCCCCGTAATTGTTTTAGACTTTATATAGCCTTACACATTATTCTAATTCTAATCTTAAGAGGACTCTAATTGTCTAATTTTAAAGATATTCTAATTATTTATATTAGATAATAGCATAATTATAAAAGACTTACTATAATTATCCTAATTCTAAATAATCCTAACACATTACTGGCCCCAGACATCGGTTGGTCAGCGGAAACACACCCGAAATCTACCGTGGGTTCGCAGAAGCTGGGTCAAAGCCAGTGTTGACCTTTGATCACGATATTTTTACCGTACACAACGCCTAGTTATTACAAGGGGGGGCGCATGGAAACCATTTTTGTACTGGCTCGGGTCAGCGCCCCGGCTTGCAAAATCTGACCCGGATATGATTAAGGTCAAGGAGGTGCTCAACTGCTCATGAATACGGGTGGGTCATTCAAAAAGAGATTCTGCTGAACCCATCGGCTAAGCAGTTATTTGGGGTGGGAATTGTTGGGCTTTCGGGTGATATATGGGCTTCTCACAGGAGGACTGTTGATCAGGCCTTTAACAAGGAGTGAGTTAAGGTACAGCACACTCTCTTCTTGTTGAGCTAAAAAGAAAATAAGTGTTAGCTAAAACGCCTTTCAAATTTTAGAAAATCATTTATGATTGGGGAAGTTTTATGTGAAGAAAAATTGTCTTAATTTAATGTAAATTAATCTTAGTGGCTTGGGTTCCAGAAATTGTGGCTAGTACCATGACGAGGGTTGAGAAATGGGAGGAAACAAGAGGTGGGAGAGATGAATTTGGGATGGAAGTGCATAAAGAACATCATGATCTCTCAGCTGATGTTATATCCCGTACAGCTTTTGAAGAAAGAAAGCGTAATTTTAAGTTACAAGAACAGCAAGTTCAACTATTTATTGAAGCATTTAGATTTTAGAGGGGTATTTTCTAGGGTTCAGGGTACTTTTACTAATATAAATTTTTTCGAATATTCTATAATACCAAAGATAAGGCTTTAAGCATTTAGAGCAGTTTTCTGATTCGTATTATATACAGGTTCTTGCCTACCAGGAAAAACAGAGAGAGGTGGAGACCCAAGTCAGAAACTCATGACTCAATAAGGATGAAATTCGGGGCAGAAGAAATTATAAATGAATGCCAGACATTTTATTTTGCAGGAAGTGAATCGACTGCTGATGCCTTAGCCTGGGCCCTTCCACTTCTAGCACAGCATCAAGAATGGCAAACCAAAGCACGGGAAGAAGTGATTCGCTTCTGCGGAAACAAAGAGCTAGTTGCAGAGAAATTAAGTGACCTTAAACTATTAAGTTCAGTTCTTCAATGACCTTTCAACAGAGAGTTTCATGCACTTTAAGAAAATTCTTAATACTGCTTGAATTTTCAAATTAGCTGAGAATGATATTCAGTGAAACGCTTCGGCTTTACCCAACTGCTGTCAAGTTGACGAGGCAAACATCTAGAAAAGCCGAGGTGAAGCTAGGGAATATGGAAATTCCTGCAGGCACACAACTCTATTTGGCCTTAACTGTAGTACATCATGATCCTGATAAATGGGGAGAAGATGCTAATAACTTCAATCCGCTGAGGTTTAATGAACCCAGAAAGGGTTTAGCCTCATTTTTTCCATTTGGTTTAGGCCCCAGAATCTGTGTACGTCAAAAACTAGCCATGATTGAGTCAAATATCATCCTAACGATTATCATCCAACGATATACTTTTGTATTGTCACCAACTTTATGTTCATGCTCCAATGTCGCTTCTAACAATGCAGACTCAATATGGTGCTCCCATCCTCTTTAGCAAAATCCAGAATTGAAAATTTCCCAGATAACAGTTGGAGCTTTTGGAAGCAAAAGCTTCAGTATAAGGAACGTGCATTTTGGATTGCTTTTGATATCATTAAAAAAGTCTTCAAATAGACATTTATCTATGTTAAAGGCTTTCTTTTTCGTTAGAAGTTGTAATTGTCATTCGTTATTAAATTGGTGGACTGTTATAATATTATATATATACGGGGTTGAGCTCTCTCCTCTCTTCTTGAGCTAGTTTTAGGTTTGAGTTACTATCCCAACCCAGGTAATCAGTTAAAACCTCAATTTTCTTTAGTGTTTCAACCTCTCCCTTGAAGAAACTTATAATTGAACCGATTGTAAATAAAAGGAAATAGACATCATGTATGAGAATAACATGTATAAAAAATACTGCCGGCATCATTTTAATAAATCAGTTGGATTGTTAAATGAGGACTTTTTAAATAATGGATTCATACGTGAAAGAAATTTTGGACAGGAAAATTCATATTTTAATTAATTAGACAAAGAATCAAATGACATATTCGATATAAAAAATTAATTCATAGCAGAGTTGTGGAAGCACTAAAATAATGAACTCCCAAGTCAACCAAGCTACTACTTCAAAATTTTCTGATCATCCAAACAAAACCCACCATTATCACAGCTCTCCTTCGCGCTTTGAGAGTACACTATGCACCTTCTTCTTCTTACTCTTCTCTTGATTCTTCTTCTTTCTCTTGTAAAATTTGTTCACACATTCATATGGACCCCATATCGGATCCAACAGCACTTCAAAAAGCAAGGTATAACCGGCCCTGCCTATCGCTTGATCACCGGAAACACGGCCGATATCCGCCGTGGGTTTGCAGAAGCTGCGTCCAAGCCAGTATCGACCTTTGACCACGATATTCTTTACCGTGTATCGCCTAGTTATCACAGGTGGTCGCGCATGTATGGGAAACCATTTTTGTACTGGTTCGGGTCAACGCCCCGGCTTGGAATATCTGAGCCGGAGATGATCAAGGAGGTGCTTAAGAATACGGGTGGGTTATTTGAGAAGATTCGTTTTAACCCCCTGGCTGAGCCGCTATTTCAGCAGGGACTTGTTGGGCTTACGGGTGATTTATGGGCATTTCACAGAAGGATCGCCAATCAGGCCTTCAACATGGAGCGAGTTAAGGTACAACATCATACTATTTCAATTGAAAAACTGAGCAGAAACAAAGGAAATATTCTAATTGATTAGATACCTTACGATGAATAAGATTTAAAGTTAATTCTTCCTCGTACAAATCTTAGATAAAAGATAATTTAACTTGAGTTTGGTATGAAGACTATTAACTCTAGGTGCTTGTGGCGGAATTTCTTTTAATCAGGCTTGGATTCCAGAAATGGTAGCTAGCACCATGATGATGCTTGAAAAATGGGAGGAAATAAGAGGAGGGAGAGATGAATTTGAGATGGAAGTGCATAAAGAACTTCATGATCTGTCAGCGGATATGATATCCCGTACAGCTTTTGGAAGTAGTTTTGAAGAAGGAAAGCGTATTTTTAAGTTACAAGAAGAACAAATGCAGCTATTCATTGAAGCTTCAAGAGGTGTCTATTTTCCAGGGTTCAGGTGACTTCTAGTCTTCCCTTTTGTTACCCTGTTGTATTACAGTGCTGCTAATGCGTCGTTTCAAGTAGGACTACTGGAAAATGAAAACCCAATTGGTTGGCTTATCATGATTTCATGAATTGGAATCACATGCGAAATTAAAGCTATGGCTATTTAGGCTGAGCAGTTTTCTGATTTTCTTTGTCATTATTATATACAGGTTCTTGCCTACCAAGAAAAACAGAGAGAGGTGGAGACTCGACTCAGAAACTCGTGAATCAATAAGGATGCTGATCAAGAACAATGGCTCGGCTAGAGAAAACTCAAGAAATCTACTTAGTCTTTTAATGTCATCCTACAAAAATCAAGATAACCAAGAGGAGAAATTGGGGGAAGATGAAATTATTAATGAATGCAAGACCTTTTATTTTGCGGGAAAGGAGACAACTGCTAATGTTTTAACTTGGGCACTTCTACTTCTAGCAGAGCATCAAGAATGGCAAACCAAAGCAAGGGAAGAAGTGATTCGTGTCTGCCGAAATGAAGAGCTAGTTGCAGAAAACTTAAGTGACCTAAAGACTGTAAGTATATTTTCTCTGACCTTGCAAGTTCATAAAATACTGCAACAGAAAGTTTCATGTGCTTACGAAAATTTAGCTGCATTTTCAGGTATGATCATGGAAAATATTATATACAGTCATTATATTTAATGTCAATGGGAAAACTGCAAATTAATTTAATCCTTTTCAAAGAACTTACATGTTAAAAGTAAAGGCAAAAGAATAAATACATGGCAATAGTAGCATCAAACTGTAAATTAATAGCAATTATACATATATTGATGAACATTTCCAATTAAAGGGCATAGTAATTAAAAAGTGACTTTTTTATTTTTGTGGAAATTATTCTTCTAATAAAAATATTTCCTGCTGTCTAACATTCTTACTCCTGATTCAACTTCCATAACAGGTGAACATGATACTCAACGAAACACTTCGACTGTATCCTCCTGTTGTCAAGTTGGTGAGGCAAACATCTGAAACGGCGAAGGTGAAGCTAGGGAACCTTGACATTCCTCCAGGCACACAGTTGAATTTGGCCTTAACTGCTGTACAACATGACACTGGTATATGGGGAGAAGATGCTAAGAAGTTCAATCCGCTAAGGTTCAACGAATCCAGAAAGCACTTAGCCTCCTATTTCCCATTTGGTTTAGGCCCCAGAATTTGTGTTGGTCAAAACTTAGCGATGATTGAGACAAAAATCGTCCTATCTATGATCATCAAACGATATAGTTTTGTGTTGTCGCCAACTTATGTTCATGCTCCAATGCTATTTGTAACCTTGCAGCCTCAATATGGTGCGCCCATCATCTTTACCCAGATTCATTGAGATCTGCAAAGTGAAAGCATTAGAATAATAAGGTGCACTCTGGAGGTTTTCGACATCATTGAAAGCATCTTCAAATAGGTAGAAGTATTTGATGTCTGTGTTAAAGCACTTCTATTAAGAATGTTTTAGCTTTTCAGAAAGCTAGTGGAAGAAATTATAAAACAGAAGCTTTATTTATTTAAATATATCAACTGTCATTGTAAACTCTCAAAAGATAGTTCAACTGGCAAGAAATCTCAGTTTAAGATATCTTAGTTTGATTTCTTATTGCTTCTAGACAGTTGGTTTGCTTATTTTAATTAGTTTCATCAATGACTTCGAAATCACAAGCAAGATTCAAGGTATTGATTAATTCGGGAGGTATTAAATATTAATGCAAGACTTGATTCGATGAAAACGAATCAAATAATTATCTATTTCTTTCTCTCCTTTCATATATAATGTGTGTTGGGGCATGGTTAATTTATTAAATAAAAGTTCAGTGTGGGGCTCCTTTCACCATTGACAAGGTCAAAAGTTTAATCCCAAAAAGTTATTCATTGAGTTCAAACTTACCACAATAATATTATAGTTTATTTGGTCTTTTAGATTTGTAAAGTATTTTATAGACAATTAAGGTACGCACAAACCTTTTTGGACACTTATTACAATAATATTATGATTTATTTAATCCTTTAAGCTTATAAAGTATTCAATAGATCCGATGATTAGTTGAGGTACGGACAAACTCACTCAGACACCTAAATAAAAAAAAAAAAAAAAGGTCAAATAGGAATACATAAAGTATATATATATATATATATATGGTTGTTTTCAGGTGAATACATATATAGTCTAAACAGGTATATATGGTTGTCAAAGTCATTTATTCAGAATACTCAAAGCCAGAAGAATAGGAAGATAACGAAGGATATAATTTGTTAATGAATATTTACTTATTCAGAGAACGCTATCACAAATTTGACTTTGACATTATATTTCCCTTTTTATAAAGTTGACACTCAAAAAGATGAAGGTTTAGGAGGTGGAAACCGCGCGCCATTATTAAAGCTTCGGCTTGAGAGTAGCTTTTCTGATCATCGAACGGAGCCCACCCTTCTCAGAGCTCTGCACAATGCAACTTCTTCTTGCTTCTGTGTTATTGATTCTTCTTATGTCTGTGCTGAAATTTGTTCACACATTCATATGGATCCCATATCGGATCCAACACCACTTCAAAAAGCAAGGCGTAAGCGGCCCCGGCTACCGCTTCATCACCGGAAACACAGCTGAGTTCCGCCGTATGTTCGCAGAAGCTGCGTCGAAGCCAATACCGAGCTTGGACCACGGTATTGTTTACCGTGCAGCGCCTTCTTATCACAAGTGGTCAAGCTTGTATGGGAAACCATTTTTGTACTGGTTCGGATCAGGGCCCAGACTCGCGATATCTGACCCGGATATGATTAAGGAGGTGCTTATGAATACAGGAAAGTCATTCGAAAATATTCCGTTGAACCCCTCGGCTAAGCTTTTACACGGCCTGGGACTTCTTGGGCTTACGGGTGATGTATGGGCATTCCACAGGAAAATCGCCAACCAGGCCTTCAAGATGGAGCGCGTTAAGGTACAACACAACTCACATCTCTTTTAATTGAATTAGTGTACACTGTTCCTCCAACTGTTACTATGCTCTCAACCTGGTAGATGCAATCGTAGATTTCTTGCAAATTAAACTTAATGTTTAGTTTGGTTAAGATTTTAATGTTAGGTGCTGTGTGGCCCAAATTATTCTTTGAACAGGCTTGGGTGCCAGAAATCGTTGAGAGTAGCATGAAGAAGCTGGAAAAATGGGAGGAAATAAGGGGAGGGAGAGATGAATTTGAGATGGAAGTGCATAAGGAAATTCATGAACTCTCAGCGGATATTATATCCCGTACAGCTTTTGGAAGCAGTTTTGAAGAAGGAAAGCGTATTTTTAAGTTACAGCAACAGCAATTGCACCTCTTCATTGAAGCTACTAGAGGTCTCTATTTTCCAGGGTTCAGGTGACTTTTACTTTTATTAATATGATATCTTATTAAACTTGAAAATTTTCTGTGTTACTAAAAGGCACTGGGTAAGTAAAATTATTAAGAAATATGCTTCATTTTGATCTATTAGCTTTCCTGGTATGATACTCTGCTAATTAACCAGTATCATAGAATGATTCAACTCATTTGTTTATAATATGTGTCCTACACCAAGCATGCTAAAAGCTATGACACCACAAAATAGAAAGTGTGGTAAAGGCCATTATTTGACCCAAAATAATACAAGGCAACAGAGCACTATATTGATTAGAAGAAAAAGAGAGAAAATTTCAATGTTTGATGACTATTAGAGTTTGCAAATTATAAGTTTTTTTACTGATTATATCTATTATATGTCTCTTTAGTTCTTGTTAAGTAAGAAGCCTTTATAGCCATTGATAACGTTTTAGTTGTGGCTTTTGATACATTAAACGTTTACCGACAATGGTTATTCCTTGGATTCTATTCTGATGGCCAGTTTCATTATATTTCCAGGGAATGAAAAACGTGTCAAACATGAATTCCATACTGGTTATTTTTGTTGTTGGGCTATTGGAAAATGCATGGACAGTCAGTTTGCTTATTGTAATTTCATGGATTGGGATCACATGCAAGATTCAAAGCTATATATTTTCTTGAGTATTTACGGTGGGCAGTTTTCTGATATATATTTTCTTCTATTCTATACAGGTTCTTGCCGACCAAGAAAAACAGAGAGAGGCAGAGATTGTACTCAGAAACTCATGAATCAATAAGGACACTGATCAAGAATAATGGCATAGCAAGAGAAAACTCAACGAATCTACTTAGTCTTTTAATGTCATCCTATAAAAATCAAGATAACCAGGAGGAGAAATTGGGGGAAGATGAAATTATAAATGAATGCAAAACCTTTTATTTCGCAGGAAAGGAAACAACTGCTAATGCTTTAACCTGGGCACTTATACTTCTAGCACAACATCAAGAATGGCAAAACAAAGCAAGGGAAGAAGTGATTCGTGTCTGCGGAGACAAAGGGCTAGTTGCAGAGAACTTAAGTGACCTTAAGATTGTAAGTTCTTTTATTTTTTTTACAATGACCTTCATTTTTAGTACTGATGCACTACTACTTGAACTTTCTTTGACAGTTAACCATGATAGTAAACGAAACACTTCGACTCTACCCTCTTACTGTCATGGTGATGAGGCAAACATCTAAATTGGTGAATGTGAAGCTAGGGAACCTTGACATTCCTGCAGGCACGGACCTTACTTTGGCCTTAATTGATGTACATCATGATACTAATATATGGGGAGAAGATGCCAACAAGTTCAATCCGCAGAGATTTAATGAACCCAGAAAGCACTTAGCTTCATTTCTCCCGTTTGGTTTAGGCCCCAGAATCTGTGTAGGTCAAAACTTAGCCATGGTTGAAGCAAAAGTTGTCCTATCTACTATCCTCCAACGATATACTTTTGTGTTGTCGCCAACTTATGTCCATGCTCCAATGTTGTTTGTAACCTTACAGCCTCAATTTGGTGCGCCCATCCTCTTTACCAAGATTCAGAATTAAAAGTTTTCTCAAATGGGGCTTGATGCGTTTGGAAGTGATGGTATTAGAAAAATGTGTATCACGGAGTGCTTTGGACCTCATTGTAAGAATTTTCGTTTAGATAAAAGTATTTTATCTCTATGTTGAAGCCCACTTCTATTGTTGATTTCATCTGAAAGTAAATAAAAAAGAGAGAGAGTTACGTGATATTCATAGATGATACAGTTGATTTTTTAATTCATTAGACATCACAGAAGAAAAATTATATAATGGAAAGCATCAAATGCTCCTTGAGATCCAAATCAAAAAACTCCGCATGCATTATTTCAATAAGGTTTCTCAGATACGAGCATCCTTTAACGTATATATAAAATTCATTCTGGACAGTATTGTTATCCCAGCATTATTATTTTGATAATGAAAGGACGAATTTTCGAATGCACAATTCAGTCGGCTGGTAGCTTCAACCTTGAGTATGATGCCAAACTCAAGACCTATTAAGGGAAAGAAGAAAAACACACCCGCCATTATCGCAACGCTCTCTCCACTATGCATCTTCTTTTTGCTTCTGTTTTCTTGATTCTTCTTGTAAAATTTGTTCACTCATTCATATGGGTCCCGTACCGGATTTAACACCACTTCAAAAGGCAAGGCGTAAGCGGCCCTGGCCACCGCTTGATCACTGGAAACTTAGCAGAAATCCGCCGTCTGTTCGCAGAAGCTGTATCGAAACCAATACCAAAACTTTTACACCGATATTTTTTACGCGTGCAGCTCCTTCTTATGACAGTGTCAGGCGTGTATGGGAGACCCTTTTTGTACTGCTTCGGATCAGTGCCCAGACTTCCAATATCTGACCCGGATATATCAAGGAAGTGCTTATGAATACGGGGTGTCATCTGAGATTCTTCCTTTTGACCCCCTGTCTAGGCAATTACAGGGCAGGGACTTGTTGGACTTTCAGGTGACTTATGCTCTTCACAAGGATCGCTAATCAGGCCTTCAAATGGAGCGAGTTAAGGTAATCAATCACGCTTTGAAAAAGATGGCTGAAATGAATAGGATATGTTTGGTGCGAAGTTTTATATACTTCTCCGTCAATTGGTAGATATAAATTTCTTGAAATTTGAGCACTTGGATTCCAGAGATTGTGGCTAGTACTAAACGATGGTGAAGAATGGGAGGAAATAAGAGGAGACAAGATCAATTTGAGATGGAAGTGGATAAAGACTTCATTACCTGTCACTGATTTATCTCGTACAGCTTTTTGAAGAAGGGGCGTTTTTAAGTTACAAGAACAGCAAATATAACTCTTCGCTGAAGCTCAAAGAGTTGCCTATTTCCCAGGATTTAGGTGAGTCTTACTTTTTCTACCGCGCTATTGTTGTATTAAAGAGCTAGAGTCAGTTTTATGATACTTTTCTCTTTATATCTATACAGGTTTCTGCCTACCAAGAAAAACCAGAGTGGTGGAGATTGTACTCAGAAACTCATGAACAATCGGATGTTGATCAAGAATAATGAAACAACAAGAGAAAACTCGAGAAATCTTAGTCTTTTAATGTCAACCAAAAAACTCAAGATAATCAAGAGAGAGTTTAGGGGTTGAAGAAATTATAAATGAATGCAAGACTTTATTTTGCAGGAAAGGAATCAACTGCTAATGTTTTGACTGGGGCGCTTCTACTTCTGGCACAACATCAGAATGGCAAACCAAAGCAAGAGAAGAAGTTATTCGTGTCTGTGGAGACAAGGGCTAGTTCAGAGACTTAATTAACATTAAGATTGTAAGTTTACTCTGACCTTCCAACTTCTCATGCATGTGCTTAAAAAATTTAGCTGCATTAATTCTGTTAGAGATACGTTGATTAACACTAATGAACGAGGAACTTAATATCGTTTTTATGACTGTGAAATCATTATTAATTCTTTTATAATGATATACCTGCTCTCTAACATTCTTATTACTGTTTGATATTTCTAATTAGGTAACCATGAAACTTTACCTCCGGTGTGTGTTGTTGAAGAAAACATCCGGAAAGGCAAATGTGAAGCTAGGAACCTGGACATTCCTGCAGGCACACAACACAGCTTTATCTGGCCTTAATTGCGGTCCATCATGACAAAAATATATGGGAGAAGATGCTAATAATGTCAATCCACTAGGGTTTCCTCCTGAATTTATTTTTCCATTTGTTTAGGCCAAAACTTAGCCATGGTTGGGCAAAAGTCGTCCTGTCAATGATCATCCAACAATACACTTTTGTGTGTCGCCCCACTTATTTTCTTGCCCCAATGCAATTCGTAACAGTGCACCCTCAGTATTCGCCCATCCTCTTCACCACGATTCAAATAACAGTCGTGATCCTGGAAGTGAAAGCATTAGAAATAATAAAGGTTGTCTATGTCAGTTATTCTACTTGTAATGTATCAGTATGAGCTTGTAACTGTTCAATTGCCATTATCTCTTACTAGCTTCACTTTTACTTTTTATTTTTTACCTCGAATGAAAATCCTGCTCCTAAATATATGAAGGCTGCTCCTGTCTCCAAAGCCTCTCTTTAACCTCCTAGAGTACCAATCTCCTTTTTTTTTTTAACGAATTTTCTTTGATTTCTTGTTCTCTTTCTCGTCTCAAACTGACCTACTTGCTCAAAGCCAACCATTACATCACGGAATTGGGGTTGGTGATATTTCTGGGGTGACAAAAGGAGTCACTAAATCACTTCCTCTTTGAATTAATAGGCTTAGGCTTCATCAGAGATTAAGTAAATCAACATACCAATTACAGTATTTTAGATTTAAATTAGTAGTGTATATATGATTAGTATTTGACATGTAATTAGTTAAATTATAGTATTCAGAGGATTATAAGAAGAAGAACATGGCTCCATCTCCATGGGAAATCAGAAGAAGGCGGAAAAAGTGTAAGTGAGTGTTCATTTCTGAATATGATATGGGGCCTCTTCTAGTATTTATATACCAGTCAAAAGCAAAAATCATCTCTCAGTTATGAGAGGATCCTTGTATGTTATATAAAATTAATAATTCTAACCAGCATTATGTTAATTTAATGATCAAAAGCGAATATTAATTTGAAGATGAATTCAGCTTCAACCTGATTTCTTGAAGATTATACGATGAGTAGAATGCAAAACTTCAAGACCAACAATAAGAAATACTTAAATCATATCCTGTGTCTACACCATGCTCTTTTTCTTGGTATTGTACTTTCCTTGATTCTTCTTGTAAATTTGTTCATCCATTCATATGGATCCCATATCGATCCAAGCCACTTCAAAAAGCAAGGCATAACCGGCCCTGCCTACTGCTTCATCACGGGAACCACCCGACATCCGCCGTATGCTCTAGAAGCAGTGTCGAAACCTGCAGTAAAAACTCTGTACCACGATGTTCTTTTCACGTACATCGCCTTTTTATTACTGGTGGTCCGGCATGTGTGGGAGTCCATTTTGTACTGGTTCGGGTCACCGCCCAGACTTGCAATATCTGACCCCAATAGGGTTAAGAGGTCCTTATGAATACGGGTGGATCATTTGTCTTGGCAATTACAAGGAAGGGACTTATGGCGATTTATGGGCTCTTCACAGGAGGATCACTGTCGGCCTTCAAAATGAGACGAGTTAAGGTACTTACAACAATTACACTTTGAAATCTATGAACAAGGATATTATTGTTGCGGTGAAGTCGTCATAAATTCTTGTAAATTAATAGTTTGGTTGACAAACAGGCTTGGATTCCAGATATTGTAGCTAGTACCAAACGATGGTTGAGAAATGGGAAGAAATCAGAGAGAAAGAGATGATTTGAAATGGAGTACATAAGGAATTCATCAACTCTCAGCGGATGTCATATCCCGTACAGTCTGAGAAGAAGGAAAGCGTATTTTTGAGTTACAAGAGCAGCAAATGCAACTGTTCATTGAATCAAATAGAACTATCTATATCCAGGTTCAGCAAATTACATCGTAAGGTATCGAATTATCATCGAAGTGGAGACTGGATGGTTCGGTACTTACATCGTAGGCTTGGGTATTCAATCGAAGACAAAAGTAATAAAAACTTAACAGTTGCTATTCAATCAATAATTAAAAATCAAACAAGAACACACCCCATCCACTCATCAGTATTTAACAATGAATAAACACACACACCCTACCGTCAGTATTTAACAATGAAATAAACAACACACCCACCCACTAATCGATAATGAAAAATCAACGAACTCCGACAACCCCACCCTATGAACAATAAAAAATCAATAAAGGGAAAGCCACTGACCTAATGTCAAAAATTAGTGCAACTTAACGTGTTGTGGTTCATTTACTTATTTATTAATTTGTTTACCAAGTCAAATATCTATCACGTGAGCTTGTTCACGTGGGAAGTGGCCTGGGTTGTTTTTATTTTGTTTTATCTAGATAAATTTAGTAGTGGTAGTAGTGGTAAATATGATGGGAGTGGTTGGAAGATTTGGGGAATGGCTTAGTGGAACAGGTCTTTAAATTGCTGATTGATTGAGTTGAACTACGCATTCTTCTCACCAAGTTTTTTATTGTATTTCTCATTTTAATAAAGCTTTATTAACTTTCACTTGGCCTTCTCTCTTTACTTTATTCTTCTTTTTATTTTATGGTATCAGAGCCAGTGAGGCCATTCTTTTGTCTTGTCTATCAAGCTGTCTTTGTTGCAGGAGTTTGAAAGTTGTGAGAAGAAAGTTTTGTTTGTTTGCAGCAATGGAGGTAGCAAACGAGGAAATACTCAGTACTGGAAGCTTGTAGGCAATAATAACTACAAGTACTGGGAAATGTGTAGGGAGGCTTACTTCAAGGTCAGGATTTGTGGGATTAGTTACTGTGTCTGATGCAGGGATTCCTACTGATATTCCTGAGCATGCCGAGTCACAAAGGAATGGAAATCAAGTGTGGCAAGACTCTTTTTGCTTTGAGGACATCTACAGCAAAGAGTTTATTGATCATGTTCGTGATGTTAGCTCTCCAAAGAAGTCTGGGACACCGCTTGAGAAGCTGTGTACTAGAAGAATACAGCAAGGTGCAGCTATTGGAGAATGATTGGCAATGTTAAAAAGAGGTATGTCAATTTCAGAATACTTTTTACGAGTTAAAAGTATATGTGCTGAATTTTCAGAGATGATGCGGATGACAATTAGTGAAGCGCTT